TCTTGTACACTTGACCACTGTGGGATGTCAAAGCAAATCTCTTTGTTCCCACCCAGGACTCCCTCTGTGTGCCTGAAATGCACCACTAGAATAAAATGATTAAAGTACTTTTGCATAAGGAGGAGAGGAAGATGCAAATGTGTATGTTGATGAAGAAGCTATAACAGATGTCCCTCTGCTCCAAACTAGCTGGAATGCAAATCACCTGAATTTTCATTATGTCGCACTGACTAATTACTTCTAAATGCTTTTCCAAGCCTCATTTTCATGGAAAAAAAGCATTTCTTTTCCTCCAGCTCATGAATCAAGCCTGCACTGACTGGCTCAACACATTTTTGTCCCTATTTTCAAGCCCTCTGTCCTAATAGCATGCTGCAGTCCAGGGTGTGGACAGGACAAATGCACTTGGGTCACAGAGGCCTAAGCCAGGGATGCAATGATAGGACACAAGGTTTGAGTTTCTGTTGACTGAGCAGGCAGAGTGGGGCCCATTTTGTGCCACGTCTGAGTACTGGGAGAAGGCTGGGTGGGTAGGTAGTGGAAAGGCAACCAACATTGCTCAAAGCCCACCCTCTGTCTCTGTGAACTTGTTCCTTGATGTTTCCTTCTGCAGTGACCATGCAGAGGAGATATGGAGAGACATGCACAGAGGAAAGGAGACTAGAGGGAAAGATGTTCTATGTAAGAAATGCAAACTAAGAAAACTGTTTCTGAAAACAAATACATGTTAGGACTATATTCATTTATACAACTTAAATGGCACTTAAGCATCAGTGTCTGACATTTCCTGTTGGCTAGCTCTAAGCCTCCTCAAATCAATGAGAAACACTAGGCCAGGAAATTAGTCTGAGTTTAGGCCAGAGGACTATGAGTCACAGTAAGTCCAAAGAGCCATAGGACTAGGAAAGCACCACTGTTAGAAGCTGAGGCATTGGAGAGCAAAACCAACAAATATGATGAAGCCCAGGAAAAAAAGAAATTAATAAAGAAGGATAATCATTCATGCTGTGTTTCTAGTGAAAATAGGAAGAAACTATTTACATTCTCTGCTCTGTGACAGCCATCTCAAGAGCCTTTGGATAGACTGGAAACAGTCTCGCAGTCAGGCAGCCTTTGATGCCGGTACACACAGACATTTTCAATAACTCCCTCATCAGATTCACAGAAGGAGAAAAACATGCCATATGGAGATACACATGAATACATGCTTAATCACTTATTTGTGCCCAAACAAACTTTTTCTCTACAGGAACATATGAGGAGTCTGTTGCTATGGGGTAACTGTTCTGGCAACTACCAGGTATTTCTGTATTCAGCTGGAGAAGGGCCAGCTGGTGCTCCGATTACTCCCAAGACTGCTACACACATATGCCAATCAAGGCCCATCTGAGTCTAGATTATGTGCTGGGCTTGCTCCAGTAGCCAAACCAACCAGCTTCAAAAGGCAAAGCCAAACTGTGGAGTGACATGGATTGTGCATAAATATCCAGCCACCTCCAAGTCCCCACAGTCACGTACAGTCACCCTAGTCAAAATGGCTTTTGGCACATGTACAAGGAGGGAAACTTAAACTCAGGTTTTAGAAATTCTGCCTGACCTGTCTCTGCACGCTCATGTAGGTCGTGCATTTCTTTGTTTTCCACTTTATCAGGAGTGTGTCAGACACAAGACTGTCACAGGGTAGTCAACTCCTTCCTGTGAGGTCTATCAGCTTCTCACTGAATTTGACTTGAAGGCTGAGGTTAGTACACAGTTAATGAACAGGGAGATGGTGCAACAAATTGACGCATCTTTGGAAGCAGTTTTGCAAAGACTGTGAAGAACTGGTGAAGGCTGAAACAAATGAGGTTTGTTTCAGCTTAGTCTAATGGTTTCTCCCCTGACAGAGCTGGAAAGGGGGCTGCAGTGCTTCTGTTTGGCCAGAATTGAGGCCAAGGGGGTTGACAGTCAGCAAGTAGAAAGAGATGCTGACTGAGAGTCACAGGTTAGAGCTGGGATCAAAGAGAACGTTGAAGGACTCTGCCCCAGATGGAACATTTACCATCTGGGCCTTTACTGAGAAGAGTAAGAAAAAAACAGTTGGAATTGCTGTCCCCAAGAGAAAAAGTGAGGAAGGAAATGTTGGAAACAGTTGTTTGCATGTTATGATCTTGAAAAGCTGAGAAGTATTTAGCTCCCTTACTTGCAGCACAGTGTCTTGAGAGCAATCTCTCCTGCCCTGGGGCACCGCTCAGGGAGCTCTGCTTTCCTCCCACATCAGTGCTGTTGTGTTTCTGGTAAAAGTCTCATGGCCTTCAGACTAAAAGTGTTCAGCAGTAGTAAATCAAGCTGAGTTCATTTCAGCCGAAATCTAAAATGGAGAATGAGAAAACACTCCTGTCAAATGCTTCTATACTTGTTTTTCACTTTAAGGACCACAGATACCCCTCAGCCACTGAGTTCCTTCAGGATGGAAAAGACCTTCCAGCAGCCACTTAAGTAACCACAGCACCTAAGAGGTTTTTTTCCCCCTTAAACTCCCAACAGTTTATTTCTTTATTACTAAACAAGGATTTTGGCCTTTGTTTAAAAACACATGGCCTTCATCTCACCAAAAGAAAGCCTAAAGGTGCAAACACCAGAAGTTTAAGAGCCAGTAATCCTTTTATTTTCTGTCTCCGGCAGTTGGCACTGATGACAATCACAGCTTCTGATAGTGAAAGACCTATGCAAGTGAGGCACTGTGCAAGGTTAAGCTGCCCATCTATACAACATGGATGCTCCTTTTGAAGAGTATTTTTATGCAACAGGGGAGAAGGAGGGACTCTGAAGTTCTGTAGGCACCAAAAGAGTGTTGCCTGGCTTGCCCTGTGGGATGGGAACATCTACTCGAGGATCCTGTATATATCCCCTGCAATCTAACAAGCTGCACACCCGTTCAGAGAGAGCACTTCAAGGCTCTTTGCTGCCTCGCTCTCACTTGCAGAAGCACTCTGAAAGTTTCTGGAAGTTTAAAAGAGGAATCTATTTCTCTGTTCCTCTTTTAAACTTCCTCGGACTAATCACATAACCCTGCTTTCATTAAGAAACCAGATTTCAAGGTCCCCAGCTGGTTTCTGAACGAGAAACTGAAACAAATGTGAGCTGCTGTCTCCCCCCAGTGTCAGCATATTTTCTTGTTCAAAGCCACAACTGTGGCACGTACGATGCCCCTGCTATAACCTACCCAATGATAGTGTAGATCACAACTCTTCCCCGGTATGTAAGATACTGGTTGAGGTCAGGGAAACTCCAGGATATCAGCCTGCCCTGGGTCTTATCTATGCCGTAGCCCTCTCAAAAGTTCAGGAAAAGAGCAGCCAGACTGGACCAGATTTAAAGCCTTATACACACAAGGCAAGGTAGGGCCACCTCATTTTAATGCCAGTCTTGACTGCTTTGGGTGCTAAATGGTGCCCAATTGGTGCCCAACTGCTCTGATGCTAAATGACTTGCTTTAAGTGGAGCTTGTGTACCACTGGTACTGCTTAAAGAGCAACTGTATTGAAGTAGAGAATACCCCTGCTTTCAGTTTAAAAAGCAAAAAAACCCCAAACAACTCATTATTATTTTGGTCTAGAAAAATCTGCTCTTGATTGAGAGTCTGTAAAAATCGACTGGGACCAGTATGCAAAAGCAACGAGTCACTGCTCGGAGCCAAGGCACTGCTTGCTTCTGAAGCTGGTAGAGACTACACAGGACTGATAATTTCCTGTTACAGTTTGGGCGTGTGGCTTAGCTAAGTACCTTGGTGCATTTCCCTCAATAGCTGTTTAATAGAGGCGGTTAGCAGAGCCAGTTCTCACTGAACATGGAAAAGCCATTTAATCAAATTACCATCCAATTCCACCCTTGCATAGATAGATGACTGCTGAGATGGTAGAGGGGAGCTGCTGGTTTACAATGGCAATACGAACTCCCTACCCTGGCAGTCCTGAGGCTTCTGCAGGAAGGATATTGCTGTCTCCCTGGAACAGGTTTCTGCAATACTTACACTCCTCAGTCACCAAGGTGACTGCATGAACAGCAAGATTTGAAAAACCACTGCAGCTCCCAGTTAGTAACTCCACCACAAGAGCTCTCTGAGCATCAGCCATATCAGCTGCACACAAACCTGGTCAGGTAGTACTTGAGAGATGGGCATTGCAGCAGCCTGTGCTGGTGTGACCACAGTAGGCACCTCAGCCTGCAGTCACAAGGACTGGGCAGGAGCAAGCCATCCCAGAGGCTTACCATATCCTGGTGGTCCCCAAGGCTTCACCAAGGGCCCCCCACCTCTCCGCTTCCCACCTCTCCCTGCTCCACTGTCAGATTTCAGCTTCACCTTAACTTCCAGGAAACACAAGGATCTAGGAACTGCTTTATAATGGAAACATGAAGGGGAACACGAAGGGAGACGTACCTGTTGGCACTGACACACGTGCCTAAGCCTTTACTTCTGTGAAAAAATTCTGCTCTATTGATTAACCTACAAAGATGAAGTTAGTTTGTCCTCCATGCTAACATGGGACAGGACATGCAGGAATAGCTAGCATGCAGGAAAATCCTTTCTGCTTCATAGGCCAAGTAGTAGAGAGCCATACATGCTTCCAGATACTATGCACAGCAAAACAGTAGAATAAACCTAGCATGAAATGTTGCCAGAAGTGACACCGATTTGTGTTAACCTGAGGAAGTCCTAGGTGCAGAAAGTAGTTTGAGAAAGACCTGCCTGGAAAAGCCGCTCTCCTGGGTTTGTTCATCTGGATTCAACAAAGGGTCCACAAGTCTCAGATTTACACTCTTGCAGGAAACAGTTGCTCTACAGAAGCCGCACAGAGCCCTCCCCATTCCCTTCTGTCTGCCCATGAACCACGTACACACCCATGATGAATTCAGAGTGGTTTTATCTTTAAAACCAGCCACCTGCTTGCAGCTAATCTTTAAAAACTGCCTCCCCTGCTGCTCTAACTGTATCATTTGAGTAAGCAGCAACCAAGCCATTACTTTTTTTAACAAAGGATTTTTTTTTATTGCATAAATAGAGGCTTAGCTATTTCACTGTACATATAAAAACTTGAGATACAGTTTAAGTGTATGTTACTCTTGAGGGTTTTATTCCTTTGACACATCCTTCATCTACAGGAAGGCTTCATTCTTCCAGGAAAGGAATCCAGTGCAAGCTGCCAAGTGCCAGAAAATCTGCAGGGTGGAGAATCAGCAGTGAGAACAGGCATGATATACCGGCAGTACATGGGCTAAATCTGCCTGCTCACGTGGCACGCTGCAATCAGAGCTAATCACAGCCCTGAGGTGCTGACACCAGAGAGCATTTTTAGGCTAGGAGAATTCACCCCTTCTTTCAAGCCCGTTACAGAAAAACATGGCAGACAGCCCAAGAGATGGTAGAATTTAGGAAAGACTGGGCCATTGCTGCGCAACATGGGGTGACTGGGCAAATAGGGCATTTACTGCAATATCAGGGATTCTTTAAAGCCAATCATTCAAGGCCAATGTCACATGCTGGACGCAGAGGTCTTGTGGGATAAGCTCGTTACCCTGGTGCAATCCCTTGAGCTATGGACTCTGCCAAAGAGAACTCCCTGCGATCCAATGCTGCATGCACAGCACGGTATGGTCTCCTCGTTACAGGTGGCAGGCTTGTTCACTTGCAGGGCAGCCCATCTCTCATTTGTTTAGCAATAAAACTCCATATAACTGACTCTGCAAGACCAGAAAGCAGTGTTCTCACAGCATTTTCCAGTGGCTAGTGAAACTGATATAAAATAAAAGTTAAAAATGGCAGAAGTCTGCCCAGAGAAAAGTCCTCAACCTGATGTAAACAGGAAACTGAAAAACACCTTTAGTTCTGTGTTAGTTCTGTTGTTTATTTGTACGTGTATGAACCACTTTGTTCCTATTGTCATTCCCAGGGCCCCATTTCTAGCCAAAATTTCCAATGCTGTAAAAAATAAAAGTGAGAGGTTTCAAAACAAATAAGTACACATTTCTAAAACTGAAATTCTCTTCAGATGTGAGGTGATGACCTCAACAGGGGAAAGTAAATTTTCTAGTTTAACAAAGAGTAACACTACATCAAACTCCCACTGAGCTTCCAAAGGGCAGGCAAGAATAGAATTCCAATTTTGCTGCAGAACAGAGAGATGTGAAACAAACCGATACAAAAAAATCACATACCAAACAAGTCAGAGAATATCATCTTAGCACTAGGCAGCACTCATTTTGCTAATGGACTTGATGCAGTAGGGCAATGATTGTTTAAATGTTGAAAACAGAGGGAAGGACTTTAGCACATGTGACATGAAAACCCCAAACTAGGAAATTTTATAATAATCACTTTGCATTTTTTATGCAGAAAGGTGTCCACTTTTCTCAGTGAATTATATATGGTGGATGTTACATAGCATACTCTAGCATTTCTGATACCTTGGGAAGTTCCATGGCATGAGACTTGGCCCTTCCAGCTGAACTTTCTATAACCTATCATGTATTCAACTAATATGGAGTGGCAGATTCTTTTCTATCTTATGTGTCTTAAGCCAAGAGGTCTTAGTGTATCATTCCATCTGGCACGTTTTGCATGCATTTTTTGCCTAATTTAACCATCTCTAAACATCAGGACTTCCTGTGCAGTTGGTTGGGTGGAGATAAAGAGCAGAGAAGGAATACTGTGCTAAGATCTCTTAAATCATGAACCATGACTGCCAAGTCTTCTGGTGGGAAACGCAGTTCCTACAAAGAATGGGCACAATATAGGTGTGCAAATACACTGAAACACCACAGGAGACAAACTTTATAAGAACTCAGAGGACGGTGATAGTTCTAATCGCATGATCCAAATGCATTCAAGTCAAAACATGATGGGATTAACGTGTCAATGCCATTATCGAACACCATGATATCAAACAAATTCTATACCTGAAAGACTCTTCAGTCATCCTTTTTCTCTGCTTCTGCTTTCAGTTTCGCTTCACGTTGCCTCTTCAACTTTTCTTCAAGTTTTTTGCTCTGGTACATTTTTACTCCAGCAAATGCCAAGCAAAGAATCAATGTTTTAGCTGCCAAAATGTACATCAGCAACGGGAAATTCTCCAAAGCCTGAAATGCAAAATAATGTATTTAAGGCAGTTAATGGAACACTTGGACAATTAAAAATGAATCTACAGGGATGCTATACAGCTTCCTACAGGAACAGCACTATTCAAAGCAATGGTAATGCTCCTCTGTTCATGCTTTCTTTCCTGCAGGAAACTTTTAAACTAGGCAGATCAACCTCTAGGGCAAAAGGCAAAACAAGTTCACTCAAGTCTATATACAAAGCCCCTCTGAACTGGTCTTTGCTGCTTTTGCTTGCTTTACAGCAAACAGAATATTGGTACCATCTGGAGCTAAAAAGGGGGAATAATTGAGTATCTTAGGATAATTGTAGAAGTGGAAACACTTCTGAAGGGTTCTGACTTAAGTGCACATATGCACAGATCCATATCAGCTATCAGATGTGATCACCAAACACACTTCTGTGCTCCTAGAAATTTTAATCCATGGTAGTTTTGCAATTAACTTGACCAGATTTAGAAGGTATAGATAAATGCCTTTAAACTGGAAGAAAAGTAAAAAACCCATAGCCTCCTATGATTCAGTTTCAGGAGCTTTTAATGCCTGGAATCACCAAAATTGCACAACATATTTCAACATTATAAAAGCATGCTACTGTAAGTGCACATGGAGTGGAAAGTAAAATGCAAATGGAACAATAACAATGGAACAGAATAACACTGTGAACTCAAAATACAAACATAATGAGTGGCACAGCCACTCAGTGAAAGATGTCAGTTCCAGCAGGATATCGAAGGCACATGAACTTCCCAGGCCACTGTTTCAAGCAGCCACATGACCAGCAGGATGCCATCCCCTTCAATGGTTCACAGCAGGTTCACAGTGCCAGCTCCCCCTTAGCAAGCCTCCCAGTACCCCTCTGTACCCTTAGCAGGTTTCCCAGCACCTCATAAAGCTGTTGGGCCATTGTCAAATTACTGAATTTAGAAAAAACCTTGTATCCATACCCCATTAGTGTGCTCCCTTGAAGGCCACAAATCAGAGGTTCAGGTGGGGTCTTTCATAACACTGATGTCTAGAAGTTGCACGTTACCTTTGGCATCAGGGCACTCCCCTCTAATTCTACAAAAAACCATCATCCTCTGACAATCTCCCCACATACTGTAAGTGGCAATCTCTTTTGAGCACAGTTCTGCAACACCAGAAAGATAAAGCTAAGGCTTGGCTTTCTTGATAAATGGTTTAACATGTTAAATTGTTAATGCATGACGTACTTGCTCAAACACATATCTTGCAGTGTTCAAGTCCCCTGCGCACTGAAAGACAGCAGAGAAAACACTCTCCAATAACAAAAGGAGCTGAGGGAAGAACAGACAGAGAAATGCCTGGAAAGGGGAATATGTGAGGAGCAGAGGCAAGCAGAGCAGAGCTTGCCTATCAACACAAGTGTGAGGCCCCAGCAGCAAGTACTGGGGCCAACCCACAAGGTGCAAGCACGTATGGCAAGAAAGGACAGCATAAGGAGTCCTCTATCCCTGAGGTGCAGAGAGTGTGGTGGTTAACCAACCTTTAACCTAGGCAAGAAAGCCACCTTTAAACACAGGACAAACCCAACCACATCTTACATACATAAACATCCAGCCACCTCCGAGTCCCCGTTTATGAATAGAAACATCCTCACCTTCCAGTTAAATGCCACCATCTTGGCTTCGTGATGGTATTGCCTGTCCCGCAGCAAGCTGCACCCCGCACCGATGAGTGTCACACTTGTACAGGCACAGAACAGGCCAGGAACATCTTCAAGAAAAGGAAATTGAAAACGAATTAGCCAGTCTGTTTCTGCTCAGCACGTCAACCCTGCACCTGACAAACTCACTGCTGTGAAGCGCCTGGCAGCATCTCAGAGACATGCAGTCCAGAAATGACCTACATCAGCCTTTTGGAGCTGAGTGACAGGAGCAACGTCCATGCTGCTGAAGGACAGGGGTCTGACAGGCCCCAGGCAGGTGCCACGCTTGCCTGCAGCGCAGGCTGGGCTTCCACTGACTGCAGCCCATCCCAGCAGCTGCCCAACTGAAAACACAGTGTTGGCTGTTTTGAACAGCTTGACAACATGTGCACATCACACCACCTCACTGAGGTTTGAGATCTAGCAGGCAGAAGTGCCAGAAGAGCTGTCCTGTGGTATTTAAGCTCACCTGCCCTGTTTAGAGCCTGAATGCCTAATGAATCCCAGTATTCAGTATTGTTTATCAGTTCTCTGATTTACTAATAGATTGCATTTTCCATGCAGCCTATAACACAAACCCAAACCAACTACTCACTGGATCCCTTGAGTGGTCAACATGTATTTCACAGCTGAACTTTGGAGGTGAGAAATGCTAGAGGGGATGCTGAAGGCTGCAGCCACAGCACTGCCCTCGAGTCTCTGCTTGCTGCTCCACCAGCACTGACACCATGTCAGCTACCAGACCTCAAATTAAGCGTATTTCCCTGCCTAACCCCCTCGAGGTGTTTCCTGTACGTGCAACAACAGAGTCACTGTCAAAAAGCAGGAAGAAGTCTTCCAGCTCAGTCCAGACCTTCACCAGCAGCTGGGCTGAATAAATCACCACCACACCACAATAGCTGCTGCTGACCTTTCTTCAGAAACAAGGAGTCAAATAAATGTTCCTGCAGCTCCTGCATAGATGCCCTTATTTCTCCAGCTAGGCTGTCCTCCTCTCTCCTCTTCCCTCAGCTGCAAAATCTTCACCCTGCAGAGACCACCCTGAAAACATCCCCATGGAGAGACACCATGAGAGATCTCTGTTACCGAGATCGAACTAAAGCAGTGGTGTGGCCAACTCATTTGTCATTCAGTTTTTATTGTGTCGATCCCAAGTTGTGCAGCTCCCTTCTGTTGATAAAATGTCAGGACAACTGTGAACTAACGAGTCAGTAGTGTTACACCTCCAAAAATAAAGCATTTTAACTTCTCATCTTTCCTTCAGAATTTCAGTGACTGGTAAGAGCTAAAGTCCCCTGCTAGATGGGCACAGCAAAAATCCTGCATTAGAGCAGAATCAGGTTTTCAGTGCATGGTTCAGATGGCTACGTGCTTCTCAATGAAACTCAAGTTACACAAGCCTGGCCTGATCTGAAGGGACTGCACTGCCCAAATAGGGTGTCCTCACCTCAAAATGCTGACATAGATGGGAGCTTCATCAGCAACAGCCTTCGCTCTTCTCCTAAATTGCTGTAAATTCTGTGCTTCAGTCAGAATAATTTTGCAACATGATGTAAAAAGGCAAGAATTCAGCCATTCAAACACATGCCAGCATCTGGCATACGCTGCTGAAAATGGGGTTTTAGTGATTTTTTATGTACAGAAAAAGTTTTTGACTCAGCAAACATTATGTGAGCCCATCTGTGGGGTCTGATTGCAGGGTACTGTCCCACCAGCAAGAAGCAGTGTATAATGTGTATCACAGTGTGCACTCCTGTGAATGCTGTTGCTTGTGAGCCAATTATTTAAGCATTCAGCACAACACTTTTGTAATATTTCCGCTGTGCTGACACATGAGCCTGAATCTGCCTGAATTCTGTATCCACCAGGAGTAGCTGCACTGAAGTCACAAAGGATGGGAAGGAAAGGAATTCTCCTTTTATTCTGAAGAGTGGTGTTTTGATCCGAAATGTTTCCTGTAAGATTTGACACTTTTGATGGCTTGTCCTCACAGTGTCTTCTGCAGTGGGAACTGAGCAGGGAAGCTACCACTCTCTCCTCGCTGCATTCCCACATCCTGTGCCACCAGCCCCCTGTGGTCAAGCACTTCTTCCCATTTTGTCTCTTGACACTTCTGGTCTCCATCTTAATCCAGACCTTATTAAATACAGCTGAAACACCAAAAACCAGTGGAGCTGGGGCATGGGATAGAAAGAAGAAAGTGGGAAGAGGAGAGAAAACAGCAGGATTCACTTCACATTTGAGAAACATTTGTTAGCACTGAGGTCGTCATCAATTTCAAAGCAAAAGCTCAGACACTGTACTTTCAAGGTTGTGGTATCTTAAAAGCATGCAGGCAAATAAACAGCTGAAGTTTCATGTTTGCCTTTTCAGAGACAGATAAGGCACAGATAGGAGTTCAGAACACATCTACAGTCAGGCATTGTTCGTTCTCCAGGAAAATGTAAGCTCCCTTAACAAAGAGCACTACTGGGAACAGAGACTGGGCCCCATAGAAGGTCACTATTACCTTCACTCATAAGCAAGGAGGTCTCGTGTTGAGCCACGTGAGAAAGAAACAAGAGCACTAGTCTCTGCCTGAAGCCCTGCCTGAGACTCCATAAGCTAGCCATCACGTACTTAGACTCCTGTGCAGGATAGGGATAAAACAGTACCACACTAGGTGTGTGTTGATGTATGTATGTATTGATGACCTTCTTCACCATGATTGCACCTCACAATCACTAGCATATTTACCTCCTTTGTGAAGCAGAAACAACTACTGCAGATGGGAAAGGGAGGCCTGCTTATATCACACACCTCAGTGCTGTACTAACAATCCTCCATTGGCTTCAAATGCTGTGAAGCCTTCTTGGTCCAGAGTAGGCAAAGAGGGCCACCAACATGGCCCTAGAGGCTCGTATCATCAGCAGGGTTAAAGAGCTCCCAGGAAGGGCTGCTCCAAGTCCCAGAGCTAGACTTTGGCTGATACCAGCCCCGGGATCTCTGCACAACGCTGTGTTGTGCAAGCCAGACCACCCCAGACAGACTGAGGAGCTGGGTCCCAGTCAGATGGGAAGTCTGTGGTAGAGCAAAGAATTGAATCCAGGTCTCTCAGCCACTGAATTACAGCTCCAGTCCACCACAGCAACCACATCACAGCCCAGCCACTCATGCCATTGTTTGCTTATGCAGCAGCAGAGTATCAACTGGCCTGAATGCACCAGAAAACATCTACACAGGCATCTGGGTACTCACAAACCCACTTGAGTTGTCTTGGCTGAATGCCTCACTCAGCCTGCCAATAACTCCATCTACCCAACAAAATGGGACTCGAGATATTATTTTGTCTACTAGGGATATCTGAGCAACTCCATTTTATCCACTTTGTAAAAAGCTATAAAAGTCACCAGCCCCAAGGCCTCAGAAAGCAGTGAGCTACTAGGGCAATGTGACTGCATCCAAAATGGTGAGATGGCTGAGTATGTCCTGAGCTAGAAAAGCCGTTTCACTCCACCTGTTTCATTACTTCTTTCTTTAATACACACATTTCAGGAAGCAAAGCCAGTGTTTCCCACATGGAGAGTCACTGGAGGACCCACCACTATATATGACATGTTCTGTTATGCTTCAGGCTCTGCATCTGCAAGACAAGATCAAGCTTCCTTAAACAAACAAAAAAAAAAAAGACTACTGTGTCATGGGGAAACACAGCAATATGGAAAAGCAAAATTGCTGCAGCCCAGGCTGCAAAGAAACACAGTGGAAGCAACTGAGAGCCAGAGCTGCTGTGCTAAGAATCCTTCATAGACCACTGCCACAAGATGCAGTAGTCATACTAAGTCAGAAGCACTAAGACTTGCACACATTTACTGCCTCTCTATGTGTAGGCGGGTAAAGACATCACTCCATAAAAAGACCTGTGTAATCATTCAGTTTACAGTAGTGTCAGTGATGAAGAATCATAGAATAATTAGGGTTGGAAAGGACCTTAAGATCATCTAGTTCCCAACCCCCCTGACATGGGCAGGGACACCTCACACTAAACCATCTCATCCTTGAACACTGCCAGGGATGGAGCATTCACAACCTCCCTGGGCAACCCATTCTAGTGCCTCACCACCCTAACAGGAAAGAATTTCCTCCTTATATCCAATCTAAACTTCCCCTGTTTAAGTTTTAACCCATTACTCCTTGTCCTGTCACTACAGTAAGAAGTTTGTAAACTAACACCAACTCAAAGAACATAAAAAACCTAAAGCCATATAAGATATTCATACCTGAAGAAGCAGAAATTAGGGATTTCCTCTGGCAGCTCCTCACATGCTGGAAAATAAGAACAGAGCAGATGGGATGTACTGATCATGGCACCTGGACTAAAATCATATCAAACCAAACCAAAACGAAAAACATCAGCGGCACATCTGACTGTTCCACCGTGGCTCCCCAGGGCATCCTTTCAGACGCATACCAGGCGTCTTGCAAGCTGCAGGCCTTTGCTTGCTGCTACCACCTTGCCCTAAGAGGGTCTGCTGTGCTGGCAGCCCCCCCACCTCTGCCCTGGCACCTGTGCTGCTCTCTGCAGCACCAATGCCTAGGACAGCCAGCAACCCATACCAAACTTTATCAACAGATGATATTTTCAGATCCCTCTTTCTTACTTATTCATTTTTTTTTCTTAGAACACAATAAAACTCCACAGATCCATACAGAGTAAAGCACAATTCCAGGTGGCCCTGCCCTGTACCCTGCAGTGAGACCACCGTATCATGCCTGGACGTGGTTTATGGCCAGCGAACATGCCTCCAGCAGCTTTTAAACCACACAGTCCCTCGTTTGAGAAGCAGCCGGGAGGCCTCAGGTTATTACGAGGAAGCTTCTGTTGCCGCCTCGCACACCCTCAGCCCTGAGGGCCGGGGCAGGAACTAGGACGATGCCGGGGTCAGGCAGGCAGGGCGATGAGCCGGGCGGGCAGGCACATGGCGGGGGTTAGGACCGCAGGAAAGCAAGAAAGGGGGGCAGGAGGCCGGGCAAAGGAAGGTACGCTCTAGCCGGGGGCAGCAGAACAGGCAGGGGGCAGGGGAAGGCCGAGGGGAGTGAGGGTTCTGGGGCTGGCAGGCAGGCGAGCAGGCCGGAGGCAGCAGCGCAGGCCGGGTAGGGGGGAAACGGGGGACGCTCCGCTCCTGCCCGATCTCTCCCGGCAGCCCCGCAGCCCGGTTCCAACCCGCAGGGCGCCGCGGCCGGCAGCGCGGAGGACAGGGGGTGTGCGGAGGACGAGCAGACGCGGCTCCTACCTCACAGCGCGGCCATGGCTCTAGGCTACAGGGAGCCACAAACTACATCTCCCAGGAGCGGCCGCGGCAGGGACCGGCGGGGCAGGGACCGGAGCGGCCGCGTACCCTTGCCGCGCCCTTGCGCCTGTCCCCCAAGCCCACTGTGTCCGGGCCGCCGCCTGAGGCCGGAGCAGAGGGAGCCGCGTGTTTCTTACCCCAGAAATAGTAACTGTGAGGTAAAACAGTTCCCACATGCCCCGGGGGGGTAGGTGCAAGGGCAAAGCCGGCCAGGTCCCCGTAGAATCATAGAGTGATTTGGGTTGGAAGGGACCTTAAAGATCATCCAGAGCCAACACCCTTCCATAGGCCCGGACACTTTCCCCTAGACCAAAGACCCGTCCAGCCCGGCCACAGCCTCAGCTGCTGTCAGTTTTTACCAGAGCAGGTAGGACCTGAGCGGGTGTGGCAGCTGCTGGGGATGCTGGTGCAGCTGCTGGGGATGCTGGTGCAGCCGCACAAGTGCCCCAGGCATGGTCCTCCGGCTGTACCTTGCCAAAAGGGGCTCTCCGTGAGTGCAGCATGGCCCCGTTGCCCGCTCAGTGCAGCCCACTATCTTGCAGCCCAGTATCTGCTTTTGCAGCCGGTGGGCACTGAGAGGAAGGGAAGCCTCGCAGCCTGGTTGCGGAGCACACCCATGGTGGGAGCAGGGGAGCTGGCAGACACTCACAGACCAGCCGGGGAGGTGGGGGAAAGGGGGCATGCTGGGGAAGAGAGGCTCCCCACAAGGCTGTGCTCTGGGACCTGACAAGTCTTTCCCAGCCCTTGCAGGCTGAGATGTCACAGGCTTATTCCTATGCCAGCAAAAGGCACATCGGGAGCATGACAGCAGCTACTGTGCCCAGTCTTGAGACCAGTCTCCAAAACAAGCCGAAGCTTCCCAAGAGAAGAAGCCCTTTTCATTTCTTTTTAACATGAGCAAAACAAAATTGTTGGCACTGTGGTGCCAGACATGGCTGAAGGGTTTCAGCCAAAACTTTCTAAAAACAAACAACAAGCCCACACGATAGACAGCCAGCATGGGAACTTTTAGCTTCAGAAATTTAAGTCTGGCAACGTGAATAGGATCTAAACCTACAAAACGAAGCATGTTTTAATACCAGAAGTGTCACCAGTTCTGCTTCTCATTATTCCCCAAGAGCAGGCTTTGTGATACTTCAGCAGCACAGGAGAAGACAAACCATCTTGAAAACCCATTTCCTAGCCATTGGAAATGAGTACCTGCCGTGGAAATCCCTTAGAAAGCATGGCAATGGGACAGCTTTGGTAACTGGGTCTAGAAATTCCTCCTCTGAAAGCCAGAAGGCAGGATCTCAGTGGTTTAGACTGAGCCCTGGCTGATGGGATGTAACCAACACGTCCATCACACAGCTTGCACCCCAGGTAGACAGATTAGTCTGGAGAACCAAGGAACAGCATAAGAGACAGGTTGGCCAGTTATGGACTCGAGGACAGATAATGAGCCTGTGGAAGCTGCCCTACACAACTAGGACATGGGCTTAGCAGCTCTGCTGCTATAAACCAGACCTTGTCAGAAGGCCATGACTCAACTTTTGCTGCCAATGAATAGTGAAATAAAAAAAGGAGACAGATCATTAAGAAAATAGTTTGGAACGGATGTGTGTTATGGTATAGGTTACCTCCTATGATTCATACCATAACACATTGTTCAGTCAATAAATGGAGATTTTGGTATTTTACTGTACATTTTTAAGTTGGGCTTAAGTCATACAGCTTGGATCTAAATCAACACTTTTGGCCACTAATTCACAGTTATTCTGTTCTGGGAACATCCAGATCTGCTTCTGGATTTTAAAAAGGCCTAAAAAAGTCAAGTAATTCATTTGCTCATTCTCTTGGTTTTATTTTCTTGAAGAACAGAGTATCTAAGCAAAGCACAATCATGCATTTTTCTTGGGTGTTCCCTGAGCAGCCGTGCCAGAGTCCTCATGGGAAGCAGTAATGTTGATTTCCTCAGCACTCTGTTTTGCATTGTCCTGTTAATTTAATGAACAGTTTCACATCTGTTTGTAATTCCAGTGAGTTCCCTGCACGTGGCTTTATGATTTCCTCATTGCAGATGTTTTCAAAAAGTCAAGGTGAGCCAGGGCTTGTTTTGTCCCTTGCACCTGGGTTTTCGTGGATCACACACTTGAGGTCTTCTCGATTCAGAACCTGGCTTTTATACTTCTCGCCCCAGTCCTCAACGATATACTGATGATAGGGATCGTTGGAGTGCTCTCGCCTCTTTGACTTCACAGTACTCACCAAGATTGCCACAATGATGAAGGAGAACATCCCAATCATCACCATTAAATAAAGAATAACATAGTCAAAGTTTTCAGCATCAACCTTGGCTTGCAGTTTGTCTGCTGCTTCCGTCATGTTTCTCCTCCAGCCATTCATATAAGTGAGAAAAGTTTCCTTGAAAATATCTTCTACTGCCCAAGTGAAGTTTTGTATCTCACTCATCCTTGCAAGTTACGGCTCTAAAGACAACATGGTATTTATTTTAAGTAAATATCTATACTGAAACAGTTACATTGCTTTCTTTTGTCTGCATTATGACAATTGGCTAATAGCACTTTCCACCTGCCACTTGGAAGTGCAGTACTAATTTTACATCAGCTGAGAATATGCATCTCTGAGAGGTTCAGTATGTTCAGAGACCCAAGGAGGTCTTATACCTCCTCTCACTTTTAGCCTGTGGGAAGCCAGATACACCTTGGTGAAGACCAGTTAGCATGGGCCCCCATGACCCACTGTTACAGGGGTTGAGGCACCCTGCCTTCCCTACTGAGGCAAAACACTGAGTGAAGAAGCATTTTGCCCAAAAGACAAAGTACATACTGGGCCCTGTGTTAGGGCTGGCACGTTGCCACTACAGGCAGGTACCTAGGATCTCTCAGGGAGGGATGTGCTCCCCTCTTTCTTGTTTGGTGTCAAATATTACATCTGGTGTGAAGACTGGTGTACCCATACAATCTCAGATGACTCTGTGGGAGCATAATAGCCAGGCAGTTAACTCCTAAATGGTAGCCTGATAGACAGAGAAGGGACAAGGAAGCAGAGCCCTCATACCTGAAATAGCTTCATGGGTCATTAGGGTCAACCATCCCAAAGGGGCAGTCATGCTGAGTAGTGCCACAGAGCCATATCTGTCCTGCCCCTCTTCCAGCTATCCCAAACCTTGCGACAGTCAGACCCAGCTGCTGTTCAGAAAAGCATGAATCAGGTCTCCATCCCACAGGAGACATTCTCAAAGGCCAGATTTCAGTGTTACTAGAGTTGCAGAGGGAAAAAGGTGGGAGAAGGGTCCCACTGAGGCTCCCAGGTTGTTAACCCTTGAACAGAGCAACAGGGAGAGATGAGGGAGAGATACCTACTCAGCAGCTGATTACTTGTCAGTCCAAATTGTCCCCTGATCCAGTCACTCTCCCTGATCCATCTGGTCCTGCTTGAACCGAGCTAGATCTGGGGCAGAAATTGGCACATACTGACTCCAGGGAAGGAGCTCTCAAGAAGCTCTGAGAAGTACCACTGTCCTCTGCCTTTCCTACATAAAGAGGAAGGTTTGACTGGATTGCGGCTTCCTAGCCTGCAGGAAAGTGAAGAGTGTGTTACAGCATTTCAGTCTCATGCTCCTCTATAATATCTGTCCTTTAATGCTTCAGGCCAACCAAACCCTACACAAAGGGCAAAAGCTTCCAGAAAAAGTCACTTGATTCAGTGCAGTCTTCAAGCAGTGATGAGCTTACTGCAGACTATGGTAAGAGACAGTGAATTTTCATCACTAATAAGAAATTGCAGTCTTTCGAATTGGAGTTCAGCAGTCTACCTACCTCTTACTTGTTGGACTAGCTTTGCAACATTGGCATGCGCACACACACAGAAGGGTGCATGTAGATCTCTGCAATTATATACTCACACTCAAACATAGGGGATAAAGGTAATCTATTTAAAGTAAACAAGCTATGAACAAAACCAAATGCAGACTGTCTTGAAACTTTGTAAAATCTGCATTTTCCTTGAATTCAGGACAAAAATTACTGTGCTTTTTCAATAATAAAGAATTACCAACAAAAACTTACCTTTCCTGTGACCTTCTCTAATGAGATTCAGGATAACACTCAGGATTTTAAAACTCCGCTGGGTAATATGATGACACTCCTGTAAGGAGCAGAGAGAGCTTAAAGTTTTAGTCTCCAGCCTGCATAAGGCTGTAAGCAACTGTCTATTAAATAAGTGCCTTGTACTGAACACTTTGTGTTTATATTAAACTAAATGCTAAATCTAATCTCAGCTGGAAAGTCAAATATTGGCTGACAGCTTACATCAGTCATCCCGTCAGATGCTGAGTATTACTCTTTATGCTTATTACTGCAATTTCTTATACTGTGAAGGAGCACTGCTGGGCTTTCCTAGGGGTAAGCATTGGTGCAGTTCGATCTTTGTTGACCCATACAGAAGAAGAGTAAAAATGAGCTATGCAGAATGATGATGATGATGATGATGATGATGATGGTGAAGAAGTAGAAGAAGATGATGATGGTTATGATGATGTTGATAATAATAATAATAAAATAATAATAATAATAATAATTATTATTATTATTATTCCCTTGGCTGGTGTGGGCACAAAAGCCTGAGAACTGAGCAGTCAGTGAGAAAGGTCTGCCAAGCTGTCAGGCTACTTAGTGCCCACAGTTTGCCTTCCCTTCCACCAAGATCATGCTTGTTAGTGACTCACCCGTGCCTGAAGCCTTTGCTATGAGAAGCAGGTCCTTATACACAGCCAGGACCAGTCTCTCTGAGCTCTGCTCCCTGTGTACCTCACTCATGATCTGGAGCAAGAAAAGACAAAAACTTACTAAAAAACAAAGTAGAATTACTGTTGATTTCATTTCTAGCAAATAGCACATGCTGACACCTAATTGAAAAGCTCTGAGTCACATCTTAGAAAATAGCAGTGTGTTCAGTGAAATGAGGCAACTTTGGTTTCAGTCAGCAGTGGTTCCTGGCTATGATGGGGACATCTGAGGGAGGGGGATTAGGGCGGGACTGTGGTGCAAAGTGCTCCACAAGCACATGCTCTGGGACACACTTTCTGTAAAAAATACTTTCTTTTTACACGTAGTCCTCCCTAAGCAATTCGCAGAGAAAGCAGTTTCTCAGGTAGCTCTGATTTCAGGAAGATAAAGCGAACATGGACTACCACTGGAACAACAGCATACGTCAGAAAAAGGGAGATACGCTCATGGTATGGAAAAGTGTTAATCCCTGAGGGAGCCCTGCTAGTGCTGTGCTGCTGACATTGTCATGGTTACTGCTATCACTGCTTCTGGATAATTTTCTGTGCATGAGCATCTCCCAGCACAGGAGTGAGCTGCTGGCAGTATTTCTTCTCTGATCCCCTTCTTCTCTCTGTCAATTTCCCATGTGCCCTCGGCTTGGCCCTCAAAGTCAAAGTAGCTGGCAAGCTGCTTCTGTTTGCTTTGATGAAATCCATAAGTCAGAATGACCACGGCAAGCCCAGCCTCCCGCATCATGTAGCCAGAGACATGCCCTGGTTTGTCCTGGCTGGATAAAGCCACCTAGAACCACCAGCATGCTCTTAGAGGAGCTCCCAAATGCAGGGATGTGAGCGTCAGTATGGCAGTAGGAGAGCAGCCATAGCACTGGCGGTTCCCAAGCAGAGTAGCTTGGGAACTGCTGCCATGGACTGCCAATAACTGGGTGAAAGGATTTATCCTTCTTTCAGCCAACCTCTTCTACCATCTGTTCCTGGCCAGTCCTGTTTAGCCAATACTTGCACGCACGCACACAGTCATACCTACATAAATAAGGGATGGATAGGTTGTCAAATAGACATGAAATTTAACAGCCAACTCTGTTCTCAATGAAATTATAAGAGTCCTTGAATAATCCCATTGTGCTGCGTGTCCCCTTGAAGGTCACATTTGCTCAGGGTTGCTTAGTCTTTATAGCAATGAGATGACCAAGGCCAGATAGCATGGAACTGGTTAAAAAGGAGGGGCAGCCAAATATCTTGAGCAGGAAAGGTGACTGCCTTAATATTAGTCTCCCAAATGGAGACTAACATTAAGTAAAATGCTCCTGATCTCAGTGGAGGGAGGTAGGAACCTGGTTGAGCCTCCTGTCTGTACACAAGAATGGGTCATAGCAATGGGGAAGAGACCCTGGTGAATGGAAGGTAAATGTCATGCTCATCCTTGAGAAGGGCAGTGAAGGTCCAGGGAGGTGAAGGATGATCAGCCACACCCCAAACCATGTGACAGTTAAGGGACAAATCCTTCTGGAAGCTGTTATCAGGCATGTGAAGAACAAAAGGTGATTGGAAACAGCAGCATAGATTTACCAAGTGCAAATTGTGCCTGATCAAGCTGATTGCTTTCTATTGTGAGATAATGGGAGGACTGTTTCAGCGGAGTGGTAGCGGTGGTTTATATTTGCTTTGGCAAGGTTTCAGCATGGTCTTTCATAATATCCTTGTAGCCATATTAGAGAGCTATAGACTAGATGTCTGGACTCTAGAACTAGCTGGACTGCTGTCATGAGCAAGACAGAAGTGACAGCCGTAGCAGATCTGGACACTGGGTCGTATGTGAAAACCAAGGAGATTAGAGCTTTTACACCCATCTGCCAGCTCCACTGCAGCAATTGACCATTCATGGATGAGGCAGTGCTGTGGCAACATCTGCTTTGCCTCCTAGGTGTTGTGGAGCAGATGGGTCCAACCCATGACAGGGTATTGTCATCAGCAGGAGGTACATCACATGTAAATATGTACAGTATTTAACAGTATAAACAACATTACAATTGGATCTATTTTCACATGTAGCAGCCCTGTGGTCTTGAAGGAAGACATTTCCATTTTCAATGTACAACAGGCTCAGAACTGAATGATAACTGTTCGTAACTTTCATTATTGATAATCCTTCTGTGACTGTGCAGTGATGTATTTAGTTGTTGACTATTTTACAAATCCTTTGTTAGGCTTACTGGTAAGATGGTGAAGAAGGTAGCAGGCATACTGAAGATGTTGTGATTAGACCCAGATCTCATAGGAGGGTTTGAGTTCATTAGTGATTCATCTCTCCCAAGATTTTGCAATGCATATTGTAAACTCATAAAGGAATACTCATAAATAAGCATGCATACACGTAGCGTACATAGATTATTAACTATAGGATTGGAATGGGGTGCTCAATTTGCTGTATTTTGGTGGTGGTGCATCTTACTTCCCCACCTCATCCTCTGGGCTGCTCCATGATCTCTGGAATTTCTGCCGGTCCTTAGACTTTGTGTAATGAATTGAGCAATGAAGTGTCGCTTGCCCATACCAGGAACTCTTGCATGGCTAAGGAGGAAGGCACTGATTGTACTAGGGACTTCTGTTCCCTGGCTAAGGTGGGAAGCAAGAGAAGGGATAATCAGTCATTCCTTGACAGCCTTAGAACACTCCTTCCCTTTATCATAGCCTGAGTAGAACAGTGCCATTGTTACTGGAGTTTTGAAAAATTCCTAGTAATTACTGACTTGGATTGTGCCCAGGATGGAAATTTACTAATGTCTAAAGCCAATCATTTTGCGACCCTGTGAATAGTGGTTCAAAGTGAGGCCCTTTGAGCTCTCCTGTACTGCAGTGGGTGGCAACCAGCATCTCCCTCTGAGTGGGATATCCCTCAGGGTTTGCAGATTCTCAAGTCTGCAGTAATCAGAGGACCATCAGGACCATTGCCAAGAGATGGAACCTGGGCTCAAGTCCCCCACTCCTAACACACAACCCTCACCTGCTGAGAAATGCCGAGACATTAGATATGAATATTTCACTGACTCTAGGGGAATTTTTAACAGTCATACCTTTTATAACAGAGGAGGGCCACAAAGATGGTCAGAGGGGTGGAGCTCCTCCTCTCTGGAGACAGGCTGAGAGAGTTGGGGTTGGTCAGTCTAGAGAAGAGAAGCTGCAGGGGTGACGGTACAGTGGTCTTCCAATACCTAAATGGGGCCTGCAAGAAATTTGGAGAAGGACTTTTTACAAGTATACTTGGTCACTTTTTTTTCCAATCCTCCATTAGTTGTTTCCCCATATTCTCTACTATAAACAGGCAAACTTTATAGTTTATCTTAAATCATCAGCTGATATATTTGACACAAACATCTTCTTTTATAGAAGTGTTGGTTACAGGGTAAATTCTTAGAAAATAATATAGCTGTTAAGTATGGTTATTGGAGAGGTATGAGCGTCCTCTTATATGTACCTATGTAATTTTCCTTCAGCATTTCATCTGTTCTGCTTAAATCATAATGTTGTACTATTCACTGCCTTTCAGACCTCATGCTTTTGTATACACAAACTTAGCACACAATCTTCTCAGCCTTAAACTACTGATATGTTGTACTGCTAACTACTGATACGTAGAGTGCTGATAGCATTTAATTAGTTTCCCCACTGCTTTAAGGTTTTTACCGTCTTGATAACTCTCCTAGATTCCTTCTGGTACTTACACATATGCTTGTAAGAACATTAGTGAAATCGGCAGTTCTGTCCCTGGGCCTGTCTGCTGCTTTTCAAGTTGACTGTCAGGCGATCACCCTGTAAAACAAAAAGACCTACCAAGATCACTAGGTTTTACAGTTTTACTTTAACTGTTACTGCTGAAACGTTTCCTGTTATGATTATTCAAGATTACAACCGTTAACTAACTCTGAACTGTTTCCTTATGGGTTTTTTTCTTTATAATCTACTTTTCACTACATCTTGGTACATTTTCCATCTCCTTCTGGTTTCTCATAGCAGTGCTGGTAATTGAAGATGTCACCTCTTAATTTTTAGTTTTGCAGCTGTACTGCTAGGTCTCTTACCTGTTTCTTACACTCTTGGGCAGAGTCTATGCAATGGATCAGGATGTGTAAGCTATCACATCTCCAGAAGCTGTAACTTCCACCTCTTGAACATTTAACTTTACCTCTGTTTGTCATTCCTCTAAGCAAATCGTTATTCATTTGATCTTCTTTCTGCATCCACCCCATTCATGATGGATGTTATTTTATTTCCCAGGGTAAGAGAGTTAGGATCTGTACACTGTTCCTTCCCAAGGGTATGGTATTCAGCACAGCTGGGATTTTTGATGTCTTGCCCTGTACAGGTTGGGTTTTCTTTTTAAATTAGGAAATCCTTTTGCTATTGTTTATTTCTTATATAACTGTGCTTCCATCTTTCAGGGAGAAGTGTTTAGAGTTTTCATCCTTTGCCTATTTTTTGGGGCGTTTGTTGGCTGGTAAATACATTTGCTGGTTCAACAGTCAGGGTATTCTGTTTTTCTGAGAGATCCTGAAAGTTAATTGTGTATTATGCAATCTGAACACCTGTTGTAACCCTTTGGGTAAGTTTGCAAAGGTATTAACCCCCAGCCTTTCACATAACAACTGGCATGGGTGACAGCCAGGAGGAACAGCTGACCTGCTGGAAGGTTGGCTGCTATTCAGAGGGATCTTGACAGGCTGTCCCCAAAATGTTCATAGGTGGTAAAACCTGTCTCTAAATATTAGAATAACTTATTGTCTGAAGATTGCTCCTTTGTTACCTCAGAAACCCACATCAAGATGCACTGTCTTTAATACCTTGTATATAGAAACAATGAAAAGTTCAGATGGTGGAGAGGGACATCTGGAATAGTCCTTTGTGGCTAAATAAAAATATAGAATCACAGAATGGGTTGGGTTGGAAGAGACCTTAGAGATCATCTGGCTGCAACCCCCCTGCCATGGGCACGGACACTTCCCACTAGACCAGGTTGCTCAAAGCCCTGTCCAAACTGGCCTTGAACACTGTCAGGGATGGGGCAGCCACAGTTTCTCTGGACTACCTGTGCCAGTGCCTCACCACCCTCACAGAGAAGAATTTTTTCCTTATATCTAATCTAAATCTCCCCTCTGTCAGCTTAAAGCCATTCTCCCTTTTCCTGTCACTACATCTTCTTGTAAAAAGTCCCTCCCCAGGTTTCCTTTAGGCCCTGTTTTGGTACTGGAAGCTGCTCTAAGATCTCCCTGGAGCCTTCTCTTCTCCAGGCTGAACAACCCCAACCCTCTCAACCTGTCTCCATAGGAGAGGTCCTCCAGGCCTCTGATCATCTTCATGGCCCTCCTCTGGACTCACTCCAACAGGTTGACATCCTTGTGTTTGGGGCCACAGAGCTGAATGCAGTACTGCAGGTGGGGTCTCATCGTGTTTGACAGAGCAACATTTTCCAGTCACCACAGAAGTGAGAGGAAAAGCATTCAGAAGAAAAGTGTATTTTAACCATATTCTGTTATGCAGCATAAGTGTAAGCAAAATTGTGAAGGAAAACCCTTTGTGTCTATGAGAAAGCGTATCTCATCAGGATGCATTTGACAGTGAGGGACTGCAGCCTAAGCAGTTTTCCAACACTGAATGCTCGGAAAAAAGCAGAACAAGTCAGGTCCCAAACTCTTGTCTGTTTCTGGTGCTGGGTCTGCACTGCAGGCAAGATACCAGTACCTGCCACCCTGCCAAGAAATGTACTGCTCCCTCAGCCCAAACTGCAAGGTTGGAGAAATCATGGCCAGGTGGAGACTGCAGTCATTCAGCTTTGTTGCTATGGTTTTATGTGCTGCTGTTGCAAAAGCTGTAGAGGGTAAATAAGGGTGCTGCCTGCACATGTGCAAAAGGAAATGCTATTATTTCACTATGTCTGATGCTTAGCTTACAGTGACTTAGGGAAATTGTCTCCTCAGCCTGCTTGAGATCAACCTTAGTAAGAGGGAAATTAAACACTTTTCCAAACAATTATGGCTTTTTTTTCCACAGGGACAGCTTTTGCTTGGGACAGATCATTCTGAGGGAAGCATTGTCCAACATGCTGCAGGTAAAGGGCACCCTCACATCAGGCCTGGAGAACATGAGGTGCTGAGTGACCTCTATTCCCAGCATGGGTAACAGGGATGGTGTCTGCATGCACTACTGAGAAACTGCATAGCAGCTGCCAGCACTGCACCCCTCCTGTCTGCTAACACCAGAACAAGGGCTACCTGTTACAGCCATATACCTGATCACCTCTCCCATGGAAACCCCATCCTCACTGCAGCCCAGGCAGCTGATCAGGCTGTCAGCTCCCAGCCTCACCTCTTACCACCACCGCAGTCTGAGGACAGTGCCCTTCTGGCTGGGAAAGTAAGATGTCAGACCTTGAACACATGTATGTGTGTCCCTTGAGAAGGAAAGAAACTTTCCACAGATATACACCCCCTGCCAAGCACTCTTTGTACTACCTAACATTGCTGCCTTCTGCTCCTCACCCACACTCCCCAGACCCTTATGGAAGAATACAGTTAATAGCTCAGAGAGAGCAGTTAAAGAGTTGGAGAGATGGTAGTAAAGTGTCAGGTGTATAAATGTCACCCAGGGCAGTGCACACAGCAAGGTAGCAGCTATGCCCACCTGCTCTCTGCTTCTGTGAAGTATCTCCAATAACCACAGGTCATTTGCCATCAGTGGTTTGAACTAGCGCCAATGGTTTCTCTCATGCCTCCACCTACATTGAAGTCTGGGTCCCCTGCTCTGATGCTTACATGCTTGATAGCTACGCTCCTAGTCCTTGAAATAAATTTGTATCATGATCCATCAGCCTCAAATGTTTTGAGGTCATTTTGTCCTGGCGTTTGCTCTGACAAGCACTATATGTGTAGATAAAGGCTGACTAAAGAAGTGTGTGCTGTGCCCTTCAAGTAACAGGCAGAATAAGACCTTCTGAAATATGAAGAGTAGTGACTGCTGTTCTCATGAGGAAACACTTGCCCTGTTCACAGACCCACCCCCTTATAACACTTAGATGTCATCTGTACCAGTGCCTCCATTTGACTTCCAGTGACGTCCACAGCTGAACATGATGACAGATGAATGTTTCTTCCTTCCATGTGTGTTGGCTCTTTAGGTGCTGGGGAAATGAAACAGTGCTTTATATGTTCTCCCTGCTTTCCTGCAAGGCATCCAGAGTCAGGCAAGCCAGATCCTAGGAGGTGTGAGAAGGCCAAAGGTATGTGCTTTGGCCTCAAGCTGTCCTGAGGTTTTGTTTGGGACTGCACCGGGCAGCAGTTCACAGAAACTGCAGCACAGATGTGCAATGGTAGCAGGCATCATGCCACAGCTACTCTAGCAAAAAGCTGTTTCTTACAACCAAACTCACTGAAGCCTCAGGTCTCCTTAAGAGTGTGCTCACAGTGTTGAGGAGCTTCTGGGGAATGGAAACTGGGAGAGGCACTCTTGCTGAAACCACGTTTTGTTGCAGTCCTGTCCTCATAAAGCAGAGGGAAGGGAGAGTAGGAGTTACAGCAACAAGCTATGGGTTTGGCAGGAGATCACGCACTGACAGAGGCCACAGATTGCAACAGCTCCTCTGGGCAGGGGCAGCTCACAGCTTCTGATGGGGTGTTACTGAATGCCCACAGTAACACTGGTGCTTCAAATCTTGTTCCTTCTCCTTTCATATTCTAACCATAGAGGGTGGCTTATAAGATGGATCTAAATCCTGAGTCTCTGAGTCTTTACAAAAGCACGTGGTCCCCTTCTTTGCACCATGCACTTGCAAGCTGTGGACCTTCTTGCCACAGGATGCTGTAGATGCTACTAGCTGGCAAGCATGTAAAAGAGATTGATTTAGAGAAGAAAAACGTATCAAAGGTGTTTGAGCAAAATGACATCATGCCATGTCACAGCAGACTGGTGAAGACTTTTTGGGGGAAGCATGACTACATGCTTTCCCCACATTTATGTTTTTCCTTAGGCTTCCAGGTTTGCCCATTCCTATGACTGATTCCTTCACTTAACAAAGCCTCCCCACCCTGTCTCCTAAAGCGGAGGGAGAGGCAGGAAAGAGGTCAGTGAGAAAAGGTGTGTAGGAATCAACCTGTCCACTAGGCATCAGAGAAAACAAAGGGAAGGCTGTAGAAATCACAGGGATGTAAAGGTCACAGGGATGTAAAGGTCGCA